CTTTAAATTGGTTTGTCCTTGAGACTCGATACATTAAAACCCTGAGCCTCAAGAAGAGGATCAGGAAACTTCACTGTCAGCAAAAAGATGGCGAACGCCCTCAGAGCAATACATAGACTGATCCAATAACTGTAAAAGACTTCAGTGACAGAAACTGGATGCCAGATCACATTGCTCCAGGTGTGAGTGGTGGCTAAACCAATGTTAGAACAGAGATCTCTCATTTCTGTTTAGATCGGGGACCCTTTTCTACTTCAAACAATAAGTTACTGTTTCCCTGAATAGCTTGTAGGAAAGGTATTTTGAACATCACTGTTTTTTTGTTTTATATTTCTGGTTAAATATAAACAGACACCTTAAGAGCCTGCTGATGTGAAAGCACTGGGTGAGATTTTCTGTGTAGTTAGGCGCAGCAACACCAGGGGTAAATCAATTTCAAAATTCATGTGAAACATAAAACAACACAGCTTAATTATTTCTTCCTAGGTAGGCTCTAACTTGGCAGAGTCCCAAAACCTACACTGCGTGAATTTGAGCTTTGCAGCAATAGCCATGGCCATCATCAGGTTCTTCCAACTGGATGAGGGTTAGTATAATATTTGAGAAAGGCTGTTTTGACACAAGTGTTTCCACTTAGGGAGTAGATGTTGAGTTTAATTATCTGGGCTCCAAAAGGCTTTGCCAGAGCCTGAAATACTGGGCCAGAGCACAAAGCTTTTTTCCTAATTCTGAACCAGGCAATCACAAAATTCAGGCCTTGATCCATTTCACCCAGCTGGAGCCTTCTAACCAACATACCTAAGCAGGACACAAACCTAGTAGTTCTTGCCGTCTCTGTTGTCCATGGAGAGAGAAGAGTATCTCTAGAACAACTCTTACTTATTACGTGAATTACAATTTCCCTCTGCAGAAGCCTCTGTTTTTATTGACTGGTGAAGAGTCCCAGTACATTCACATCTTAGGCTAAATGAGAAACTGGTTGAAGCTCTGGTAGCATTTGTGAACTAATGTCTCAGCTGCTCTTATAAAGAAAGGCAAGCACACACCAGAAGTACAAGCAGAGGCAAGAGTGATCATCTGAACTTCACTATGTTCTGTCAATAAGAAGCTTAGATTTGTTTCTTTTTAATTGGACTTTGTGCTCTGTAAGCATACATGAAAGATACTGCCCCATTCCACAGACATCCTAACTTTACAAAAAGTCCATAGATAAAAGCACATGTTTGAGCAGTATCTGGAGCTTGGGAAGGTAAGGAAGCCAGAGCTAAAAGAGAAGCTTGCTGCTGAAGGGATAGACAGAAGAGCAGGAGGGGAGAGGAGAGCAAGAAACACAACAGATAGGCAGCTAAGAATCAAGATTTTTCAGTTTAGTCAGTAAATACGTATTTCCCCCACCCACATCTGGAATAATATGAATTTTGGATTCAGAACTACATTCTTTGCTTGCCTAAGACTCCCAGTAAAGTGTCTTTCACTCAAGGAATGCAGGATCTAGTGTCTCAGCTGTATGACTTCCGCATGTAGTTGGCAATATTCACTGCATTCAAAATGAAACTGGTTTTTAATTGCAGGCAATGTCTACTTTTTAAATAAAACACTTTCCCTCCACTTTTCCCCTGCACATAATTTTTAAAAATCTCTATTTCAGTCATAAAATAAGAACAGCTATAGGAAGCTGGAGATTCCAGATCAAACCTAACTGAACCTCTGGAGCTAAAAAGTCCAGTGGGTTTAGTAAAGCTCCCAAAAGAGAAATATGCTTTTATTTCAGTGCACAGTCTCTCCGATTGCAGATCTGTGAAGGTTTCTTATCAAACCGAATGGTGTCTTCACTGTGCAGAATGCCATTCTTAATGCTCTCAAGAATGTAAAATTTTTTGTTTAAATCCATATTGTATATATTATGAATAAAAGAAACAAGATTGTAGTCATTAAAATAACTTAAAAGCTATTTTCTGTTTTACAGTTTTGTGTGTATTTAAATATTTAGTAAAAAGAAAGCTATCTACTCATATCACAAAATATGAAGTAGAAGTATTCCATATTATTTGTATTCTAGTTACCCTATACTGTGGAATGTAAAGTTATGTATATCACATTGTTTGATGGTATTTGTGCTTCTGAGACAAAGGTAAGGAAATTATAGCTTCTTTTAACCTGATGGCAGAGCAACATAGGGAAGACTGGTTTTCTTGACTATGGAAGTATGATGTAACTCTGCTGAAGCATCAAGATTTACCTGTATGACTTCTGGTGGATTTTCTGTGCTGATGAGCGAAATGAAAAATTAGATCAGGAAAGTATATTCTACCCCTGCTGCTTCAAGTATTTAAGAGGAAATATTAAAACTAGCCAACGAGATACAATTTGCAGTACAAATGGGTAAAAGAACTAGTTGTAATAATTGCTTTTTTTCAGGGAGCAAGAGCTGCAAGAGTTCAATCTAGAAATTACACCCTAATAATAACGCCCAGTTCAGAGTCCAAGTTAGTAAAACGTGTCATGGACTGTAAGTTAGTGCGGATGTGCATCCATAGGCTTTTGCCAAAACCCATCTGTCCTAGATGCAAGATTTTACATTTGTCTTTGTTGAATTTCATACAGCAAGCATCTGTTGTTCCACTTCTCCAGGCTTTTGAGGTCCCCCTAAATCCTAGTCTGTGTGCAGGAAAGTGGGATGGGTTCCCAAGGATGCTGCTTGCTCAGAGAGGGACAGCTTCTGCCATCAGGCTATCCTGCATCTGCCCTCCCGTTATCTACCACTACATCTCTGTCAGCACCTCTTCCAGATCTCTTCCATCTTAGGTTCTAATGGGACTGCCTCTCCATCCTTTGGTAACCTAGTTTAAAGCCCTCCTTATGAGGCTGGCAAGCCCACTGGCAAAGACATCCATGCCACACTTTTTTAGGTGAAGACTCTCTACCCAACAGTTATCATTCCTCAAAAAGTCTGGAGGAACCTGGAGGTGTCTGAAACAATACCTTGACATTAATAGCATTTGACTGTCTATACTGATCTTTAGCCAGTAGCAAGTGAAGAATTGCTGCTCTGGGTAATCAGCTAATTTTTCAGCTGATTTCCACTGTTCTTTTCCCTCCTCCTGCAATTTAAATGAACTGCCTGCGATCAACAGACCATAAAAATATCCATCTACATTATTCCTTTTCACATTAATCTTCATACTCACATTAGATGTCAATCAAATGTAGTTTCTATTCATTAAATACAACTGATAGCATCTGTATGCACTTCTTCCTTTTAGACCATTTACTGTAGAAACTCTAGCCTATTTGATCTTTGCATTAAATTACTTTATCCCAGGCACTCCTCTACCTCTCATTTTCCATTATCTGTAGTTCTGCAACTCACACTTTTTGTTTCTCTAGCAAATCTCTTAGTGCTACTAGATCACGGTCTATTCTTCACTTATCAGAAAACAAGTTGCTGTGTCAGCAGTGTCAGTAACGAAGTCTTGGTTTGTATCAGTTATGTCCTCCCTTCTTATCACAGTAACCCAAGCTTCCCCTACAGTCTCCATGCTCTCCCATTACAATACCTTCAACTCCCTCCCATGTCCTACACAATATCTCGATATCCCCTTCTGATATTTAGGCCTCCCTGTAACACATCCCGTTCCTGCCCCTTTATTTCCTAACCTCCCACAGTGAGTCATATCCCAAATACTCATAGCTCCCCCATATCTCTTGCTTGACTAAGATAAGACGTAGTATGTATTGATAATATGTACCGTGACCTATCGTGTAATGAGCTGACCAGTACTCATGGCCAGCCACTGTTTCATGGAAAAACATACTCACAGCATTGTTTCTTCTTTCCCTCATTTGGTAGCTAAATGAGTCTCTCTTTTCTCCCAAACCACTCCTTTTGGGAAATGTGTGGGAATGTCATACCTCTGAATCCTCTTACACTCTACTGAATTTGACTGAAGTTAGAGGATGGATTAAGAGACAGTAAAGTGGGTGAGAAGCTAGTAGGCATGAGTAGTATGGCTGTGTAGGCAAAGAAATCTGTAGAGCTGACTCTGCTTCCTCTTTCTGTTAGTGTCACACAGTTGTCATTTTGTGATTGTTTTTTCCTCAAAGGGACAACTGTACTGCTGGGAGGTTAATCAGAAACTATTTATTAAAGGCAAGGCCACAGAAAATTGATAAAGTGCTGGCTTTAGCCCAAACCTAAGCAGGAGTGAAAAACAGTTTCTGCCAGGTACCAGGTCAGTGACTTCTACAAAACTTGTGCAGTATTTGGGCAGGCAGAAAGTTCACAACTTTTTACTTCAGCTTTCTAGTCTTCAGTTGAAGGTTTCCCTACAACACCACTTTTATGACTCATAGGCATAATTCATGGTAGCTGTTACCAGCTCCAGCTGGTTCCTCACTTCCCCTCATCCTGGAGATAGTATATTCAGTCAGGCTTGTCATGAACCCGAAGAATGCATCTACATATTAGTGCTAGGCTAGGGAATATTTGTTAGATACAATTTTAGCTTCTCTAAAAATGCATTGTGTTTTCAATTGTTAAGAGGACTACTAAATGCTAACTTTATCTAAACATTGCATTGGACTCCCCTGTCAACTGTACAGACAGAAGTGGTTTTTTCTAGAGATTACTCACTGAAGATTTCTGAGAAACACCTGTTGATTTGGAGCAGTTCCAGATCCAAAACTGTTTTAAATTAATATATTTTAAAATACACTTAATACCAAAAGACTTTCTCCCAGTATTTGATCTATAGCTCTATGGAATCAAATTTTTATGGAAGCATCGTACTTGCCAATGCTAACAGGCTAGGAATCATAGAATGGCTTGGGTTGGAAGGGACCTTAAAGATCATCTAGTTCTAAACCCCCTGCCATGGGCAGGGAGACCTTCCACTAGACCAGGCTGCTCAAAGCCCTGAACAACCCACCTGGCCTTGAACACTGCCAGGGAAGGGGCAGCTTCTCTGGGCAACCTCTTCCAGTGCTTCACCACTCTCACAGGAAAGAATTTATTCTTTACATCTAATCTAAATCTACCCTCTTTGAGTTTAAAACTTCGTCCTATCCCTATACTGCCTGATGAAGAGTCCCTCCCCATCTTTCCTGTAGCCCCCTTTAAGTACTGTAAGGACACTATGAGGTCTCCCTGGAGCCTTCCATTCTCCAGTCTGAACAACCTCAACTCTCTCAGTCTGTCCTCATAAGGGAGGTGCTCCAGCCCCCTGATCATCTTTGTGGCCTCCTCTGGACCCACTTGAGCAGGTCCATGTCCTTCTTATGTTGGGGGACACAGAGCTGAGCACAGTACTCGAGGAAGGGGTGACCACTTAGGTATTCAGTCTCTTAACAATAGCTGATATTCAGATGAAATGTGTATAGCAAGAAAAACTGCCTGCAGCCTCATCCTAAGGCTTCTCTTGGATCCCACAGAATTTGGACTACTCTGTCACATCCAGCCTTTGGTCTGATATCCACAGGTCTATGCAGATGTAAATACTGTGTGAAAGGCAGCGAAGGCAGATACAGCATGAAATGGGTCAAAACAGTGGTAAAATATTTCCAAGCAGATTTTATCTCCCAGAAAGGGAAGGCACAGAGGAGCCAAATACGTGGCGTGGCCTCATTTTTCGCTCATCTCCTGGCTTCTAACGTACAGCAGCCACGCAGCCTCCTCCCCATCATGGCCACTCTATTGTATTTATTTGCATTTGCCATCCCTACTCTCTTTAAAAATGCAACTAGGAGTCTTCATATACATATAAGCAATCGTCTCCCTCAGATCTGATCTATATGTATGTTTGCACAACAGACCGATGTGCAAAAAGCACCAGGTGACATTTGGCTTGGCTTCTCCCACAGAACGCAGCGACAGGATTCGGCTTCCAAGAGGCACCAAGTCTCTACCTAAGCGGAAAATCCCGCCTGTCTCCCATTCCTCGCCACGGAGAAGCAGCCTCTCCCGTACAGCCGAGGCCGATGCCCAACAGGAGACTGCACGGCCACAGCAGAGGCGTTAGTGGCAGCAGTCGGAGGGGCCTGGGCCTGCGCGGGGGGACTGCGTCAAGTTTAGAGCAAATTTAGAGCCCGACTATCTATTCTCCCCCAGGCCGCAGCCCAAGATGTTAATTACTGCTCTGCGGCCCGAAGCTACAACCGGTTATTTTGGGGAGACTCCAGCCCGAACCACCCCCGCCGGCTGCAGCCCTTCTGCGGGACGAGGGCTGGGGCAGTGGCGTCTCGTTAAATCCCCGAGCGGTGGCCAGTCATGCGGGCACGGCTCTGACGGCTCGGGACACGCTCTCTACG